AAACATGATATCATTTCTTGTGTGCTATGATTCACAAGGAATTATTATAAAGAGAATCATAGTTAGATTATGAATTTCAGAGCCTCGGCTTCTTCTAGCAAGCTTTACTAACCTTTCATAACTAGTTCTACCAATGTTCATACCAAACAATTGCTCCATCCAATACCAAAAAGTAAGTGTTGAAATTACTCTTTACAGAGAAAGTATTTATATTATCGTTTTCCATAGAGATTGGTGTCATATTACCGCCGTTCTACAGTTATAATCGTTTTAAGCTTAAGATTCATAAAAGGGTTTGATTTTGATTTTAGTAATGGAAAATGTCGATTTCATGCAAAGTATCAAATATAGGTAAAACAAAGTTTTGGTTTTAAATGCTTGGTAAAATTTATCAAGATTAGGGCTCGATAATTTCTTTCAGACGTATTTTCTCAATCAAGTATATGAACTCATTAGCCATAAACATAATCACATATCCTCTCAAGATGTTTCATCTCTACAACAAATTGTGAATTTTATCAAATTGATCCTTAGATGATCTCTCTACGTAAATATCAATTTGATAACTTTAAAATCTCAATATTAGTGAATATCAACTCACAAAATTATGTCTAGAAATTGTTCATTGATAAGTGGAAACCAAGGTCAAGAGATGAACACACTTCTCAATAATGATCAACTCAAATATAAACCATAAAACAAGAATTTTCATCTTATATTTGTCATCAACATATTCACATACAAATGATCAAGATAAATACATACAAAGGTGAATATTATCTACCTTTAATCTTGATACAAAGAAGGATTTAGCTATCCATCACCATGGTAATTTGATCAACAAGTAAAGTATGAAGCTTGATGAACATCAACTAGAAAATATCAAAGATTTAAGGTAGAAATCTTTGATCTTAAGTTACAAAGGATAAAAAATATTTCTTAGACCTAGATATCTGATTTTTGTGTGTTTGACAAGAGTTAGTAGCCAAAATATCACAAATAATTCTACTTATACAAGTGCTCAAAAAGTGAGTCTCGTTAAGCGGCCCGAACGCGCTAAGCGAAATAAACGCAGATATCTTTTTTCTGACTTAGTGGACCGCGCTAAGCGGGACGAGGCCGCTTAGCGGACCTAAAAACATGTCATTCTATCAAATGCGCAAAACATCAAAGCGCGCTGCAATTTGCGCTTAGCGCGCTAGCCTGAACAAATCTTCATTTTTTGAATTGTTGCACCCCAATATTGGTTCTAGCTTGTCCAAAGCTCCAATGCTTCAATGAACAACATCAAAACCTACAAAATGAGTATAAAACTAAGTAAGCAAAGTAATTTACATCATAAACCATATAATTGCTTATTTACATCTATTTACAAACTTAAACACTACTAATTACCAAAATGGATTGTAAAGAACACACAATTGTCTACAAATATATCGACATTTTTTTCCTTAACAAATCTCCCCAACTTAGCATTTTATTTGTCCCTAAACAAAAATTATCTAACTAAAAGAAAACCAAGACAAACCACAAAATTAGGAAACAACAAGCTTTTAGCACAAGACAATTTTATGGTTCAAATGAAAAAAAAAAACAAGATAATGCTTACAACTAACTAAATCCAACCATAAGGGTGAAACAATGGTTAAGTACAAAATACATATCAAAATTTCCAAAACAATACAACTCAAAAATGAATCACACCTAAACACTCACTCATCAATGGATGAGAAATAACAAAAGGGTTGTTTTCACTCATCCAACAATCATGCCAACATTCGGATCAAATCATGCATTCATCACACAAAAAGAATCAAACGCGCTAAGCAAGAATCACAAGGCATTGAAAGGGTTGTAATTTGGTTTAGTTATAAGGAAGATATACTTCTCAAGGTAATTGAAACTAAATTTCCTAACGTATGAGAACATTCAATTCTTCACACCAATACATAATTCAAACATTTTTACCCCTCTTGTATTCCTTTATTAGATATAACATACAACCATGAGCTCTTATACCGACATAATTTATGCCCTTGGCTTATCAATTCTTTTTCTTTTTAAGAGATCAATTTCAATGATTATTTTTCTCAATCATATTTTTTTCTTCACTTTTTCTTTCAACCACTTTTTATTTCTCAACAAACAACCTACATATTTCTCCCCAACTTTAAACACAACCCAACATAGTAGCAAGAATGTTCCCATACACTAAGGCAAATAAATAATAGATGCAACCACATTGAGGTTGAGGGTTCACAAATTTCTCAAACAAAAATCAAGATCCTTACTAAAAATTTAATGATGAATTTGTTATTCATTTTCAATATTTACACAATTCAACCATCACAAGGATCTTGATAGAAAGGCTCAATTGGGGCTAACAAGTGATCACTCACTCTCAATGTAGATTGATTATTCATTTGGTTCAAGTGGTTTTTCTCAAAATGAAACAAGAAATTCCTTTGATCATTTTCCAACTTTCACACATCAACACATATGCATGATTAAACATAATAAGCTTTTGTACAATGAAAAGCTTCCTCACGCAAGGTTAAGTTCTAAAGTGATTCACAATTGATAAGTATTGTAAAAGAATTAAAGGTATGACATTATGCACAAACCATACGTTTAATATTTATGCTAAGCTTAACTCGTTTAATATTTATGCTAAGCTTAGAAAGCAATAAACATATATCTTGAGTTGTTACTATAATTTAATTCATATCATCACCTCCCAATTGCAAGTTGAACCGCATTTGTACAAGTCACTTGGTTCCTTCAAAGTTGTCAAACTAAGGAACAAACATAAGCTTTTGCTTTTTTTTAACAATTTTTGTTTAAAACAAACTAACCAACTCTATACACAATTTAAACTTACTAATATAATGTCTTAAAGTTAAAAATCTCAAAAAGCAAACACCTCAAAGTGGTGTACCAAAAGAATCCATGGTATAAAATGCCTCCAAAAGTAGTAGAAATAAAGTACAACCAAAATACACCAAAAAACATCATCCTTAAAAGAATGGAACAACATCAAGATTATTGTATGAAAGTTAAAAACAAAAGACTAAATAAAACATAAAACATAAAAATAATGATAATAACGACAAAACCAATCCCCGCCAAGTCAACTACTCAACTCGTCATCGCTCCGTAATACGGTAGGAGAACTGACTTGGGTGTTTTGCGTTTTATCGCAAGTGTTACGGATAGCAAGAGTCGTCACCGACTGTTATTTATCCAATAAGGGAAAGGGAGAAAAGAACAGGAAAGAACTTTTGAGAATTTCTTGAGTTCGAGGGGTAGGTTATGAAAAGGGAAGGTGTTAGCACCCTTTTCATCCATAGTTATATACGGGCTCTTAATTTCTAGCTCACTTTGAATGCTTTGTGTGTGTGTAAGTTGAAAAATGTTTTGAAAGTGGTTATTTTGTAATGATCTTGTATCGTGAGAATGTATATAAAATGCTTATTTAGAAATATTTTGAAAACACTTTGGTGCGATAATTTTGCAATGATTCTCGTATCGTTGAGAATGTATACAAAATGCTTATTTTGAAAATATTTGTTGAAAGGAGAATGTTGAAAAGATGTTTGTTTTGAAAGTGTGAGGTTTGAAATGGTTTTAGTTTGTGAGCAAGCAATTACGAGCAATCTAACTACTTAAAAAGTCTTTGTTCTTTTCCTCCTCCTTTAGATAGTGCTACTTTACCATTGGTTGATAGGGAGCCATATCATTGGATTGAGAGACGGGTGTGGGTTATCGACAATCATAGAAGCAACTTGTAAGACACTTTAGCAATTTGTCATAAGGGACTAAGATCATTTAACAAAGGTAACATCAAGGGGTCATCGAGGGACTACGATCTTTTAATCAAGGATCTTTGCCAAAACATCCCACATTCGAGGGACTGACTGTTTAATCCGAGGCAACAAGTGAGGTTTACCTTAGAGGCACAAGTGTGAAAAGTGTGTTTGATTCAATTATTTTATCTTGAATTAGGGTTGTATAATGTTTGATATTAAATCTTGTCATACAAACCCTGATTACTAACAATAATAAGGAAAGCGATAAATTGCGGAATTTAAAGTCCCACGCTATTACAACGCTTTGAGAAAGGGGGGTACAAGTTTGTGAAATGGGGAGGAAAACAATAAACCCTAATTATCTATTACAAACCATGTACATGAATAATAATGCGAAATAATAAAATGCTCAAGAATGTAAAGATGAAGAAAGAAATTGTTTTTGTATGATTTTTGATGGAAAAAGTTTTTATACTTAACCTAATTAAATTAATTGATATTCAAAAGAATTAGTAAACCTATATAAAATAAACTAAAAAAAATAATTAAAAGGATAAATAATTTAAATAAAATAAAATAAACCCAGGTCTAAATTATCTTTTAAAAGAGAAATTAATTAGAAAATCTTTTTGAAGTTTTATTTGTTTGGAAAAAAATGAAGAAAAATAAAATAAAAAAATCTAATTTATTTAAGAAAAATATATTTTTGTGTTTTTGGTTAGATAAAACTAAATAAATAAATAAAAATAAACAAATATGAAGAATATAAAAAATATTAGGCCTGGGTGTGAAAAATAAAAGGGGTGTGAACTAAAACAAAAAAGTTAGGCCCAAATATATATATATATATATATATATATATATATATATATATATATATATATATATATATATATATATATATATATATATATAGATATATTTAGTCATAAAATAAACAAAAAAGAGGTTGGAGTGGGCCTGTAGTATGAGAAATAAAGAGGGTGAGAAGAAAAGAAGTTCCAGGCCCATTAGAGAAAGTCCAACGCATATGAGATCCAGTGTGGCCAGCCTTTTGGAGATGTATCATGTACTTGCTTTATAGAGCGCGG